GCAACCTCAGTGCTTCTGATCCTCACTCTCCTTTGCGGCTTCCTCACTCCCCCAGTCCTAGCAGGAGGGCCAAATGCCTGGCACTTGGGCTTCAGTACTACTTCAGTATCGACAACTTATGGCTTGGTGAGCTCTTAGTAATTTACGTAGTTTTAACTATCATCTGTATTCTTTTGACTTCCACATTTATATACCCAGCCCAGACTTCCGAATTTCAGACTCATATGTACGTACTGCTAACTCAACGTCTCTGCTGATGCGAGTAAGCATCTGATATTTAATAGGTACCCGAAACTTCGTATTTTCAAAACTGAACTCCTGAACTCTTCACCCAAAATGCTAACTACTGCACTGCCCCGCATCTTAGCGAACAGCAACTCTATGCTTCCAACTGCATGGCCAAAACTGGAGTAGGCCGAATACCTCTGAGTTGCCAGAATGAAGGTGAAGAAGCAAACGGAAACAAAAGAACATATCTCCTGGCCATCTTAAACTCTGCTAAGGAAAACCCGAGGCACTCAGTTGTTAAAGGTGTATTCACCCGGTGTCTCAGCAAACAGCAAAAGGGAAGAGGTAAGAGGCTGCTAGTGCAGACAGGTGCAGGGACAGAGTGAAGGGAGACGGGAAGAACGCAGGGAAGGTGGAGGGGGGCCTGGGGTACAGAACACAGACTCCAGTCCCAGTAGCTGTATGATTTGAGCTACGCAGTTTAATCTCTTTGAATTAAAATTAAAATGTCTGACTCTATGATCTATAAGTCCCTTTTAACTCCAGTATCCTTCAAAGTAACAGGTACATCCTGGCAGTGGAAACTAAAATGCCCAGATGAGAGAAGTATCCCATTTTTGAGACCACTTATTCTAGAGCCAAATAGTGTCACAAGATGCCTGTAACCCCTGAGGGCACCTTAAATTTTCCAACCTTGAATGACAGACATTTGATATTCCAATGGTAGTAGCAACACCCCTATTCCATCTCATGTCCTCACCACATCAGTGAAAGATTAATAAGGAAAAACTACATTTATAGAAATAAAATTTTACATATTCAACTATCTGACTAGCCTGTCATTTTCAAAGGGTTTTCATGTTCATAACTTGGTGCAACATGGAGAAAACTGCAATCTGTATGTTCAACATTTGTCCAGAGTCACGAAGCTCATAGAAACAGGAGCCGGAATGGCATCCAGTCCCTGTGACCCTCGGTCCCAGCCCGTCCATCATGCCACACCCATTTTAAACAAGAGAACTAATCTCAGCCCCTAAACCAAGCACAACAGCCATACTGCAAATCCAAACTCAGTTCTTCATGTGTGCATGTGTGAGTGTGTGTGTCAGCACACGCACACATCTGCACCTAAGTATATTCTGAGAAACTCCAGATTCCTGTAATATCTGAAGGCAGTATGTTTGTGAAAAATGATTCTAAACAAAAACAATAAATTTTATTTCATTACAATCACATGGTGGACACAGTTGTAGACCTGCTGGATGGCTCACACACACTCACATCCTGTAACATCAGTTTTTTTCACCTGGGCAGCAGAGGCCTCTGCTTGGTGGCCACTGCACTCATAGGTAGGTCTCCTGAGGCTGGGATTTGGTCTGGGGCCTGGGCGGCATTTTTCAGTTAAATATTACTACATAAATTGATCCCATTTGGGGAAATTCTACTTTGAAACGTAAAAGGCCAACTTACAGGCTCTGATATATGGCAAGATGTTTTTGTTACTTTATAATTCTTTCCTGAATCAAGCTTAAACGTTAATTTTATATTCAGATTGTTTTTCAATAAGAAATTTTAAACTAAGCATTCATTTTATAGAAAGGGGACACCACAATATTAAATATTGGTAGTATGCTTTAAAACCTAACTAAACCTATTCTCTAAAATGCTAGTGTAACCAAATAATGTAAATACTTACTCACAATCACCACCTTTTCTTGGTTTCTGTCAGAGAATGTAAGAACTTCATTTAACCAGTTCAGCTGTTCTTGGCTGAATCCTCCATTAAACTGGACAAACTGGGGCTCAGAAAGTCCTGAAATGAAATCAGTATTTTAGACCCATCAAATGTCAGTTTTCCCCTCATTTGGGCATTCAAACTTAGCTACTCTGGGGACACATATATTTCTTTAGCAATATTTGGCAGCAATGGACTTAAAATAGGAGACCACAAGAATTCAGAGCAACATCAAGCACACTGTATCTCACTCCTAATCCTGACGCTCCCCTGCTACTTCCCTAGCCTTCCATTATGTTGAAAATAAAACAGACTGTTTACTATGTCCACTGACTCCCTACAAAATCACCTTTTATCCCACGGGCTCTTCTGTGTCCTTCAACGTCTCACTCTGCTTTGTGCCTCTGTATTTCTGTCTTGAATACTCTGCCCCACCCGCTCTTCTCAAGGATGACTCCCTGTCACTTAGGTTTCAGCTTCAATGCTTTTCTCCTTACAGAAGCTCTTTCTGGCCACCTAACTAAAATGGTACCTACCCTTAGTCCTCTTCTATAATATTATTATTATTACTTTATTTTCTTGGTGGCATTAATCACTTATTTGTTTCATTTATCATCTGTCCTGCCCACGTTCTTCTCATTTCCCCGACTCCATCCATAAAAAAAGTGGTAGTCAGTACTGCCTACAGCTCTGAAGCTGCCCTAGAAAAAGCGCCCAGCCCAGAACAGGCACTCAGGTATCTGTTAGATAAAGGAATCTTGAACCAACTGCCACCAATACATGTGCCATGAGGCTTGTGAGAAATCCTGACCCTGAACAACACGACAATATACTTTTACCTTAATTGTCCATCTTCCTGCTGAATAAAAGGTAGCTGAAGAATTTAAAGACAATGTATTAGATTCTCAGCTCAAAGGAATAATTCACCTTGAGGACTATTCAATTCCGTATTTGGATTGTGCTCCCTCAGTATCTTCAGACACTGCTGGAATTTTGGAGAAGACTGGTCCACACCCAACACACTCATGTCATAAGCATCAAGTAAAATGAACCGGAATTTAGGGAACGGTACAAAATGATAAGCGTAATAACTCTCTGAAGGCATAGTCTCAGGACGATGGGCAATCTGGTCTTCCAGAAACCTTGTGTTAAGTTTGGAGTTTGTTAAGTAGTCTCTGCTGAAATTATAGAATTCATGATTTCCCCACGTGTGATGAACTGGGACTTTCAGCATTTGGAATGTGTTCAGAACAAGTTCCAGTGACTTTTCTGATGCTTTATACTGTGCATTATATCCATCGATGATGTCTCCAAGCTGAAGTACACAACAGGGTGGGCTGCTTTCTTTATTCCAGTGTTCGATAGCACCCTGTAAGTGAAGAAGACTGTGCCTGTAGTACCTCCGTCTGCTCCCCTGGAAATTATAGCCGTCTTCTAAATCAGCATACTGAATGTCTGCTATAACGCCAAAGGAGAAGAGCTCTGAACTCTCACTTAGGGGTCCAGGATCAGGCTTATCATCCATAACCTCCAAAGTTTTCTAAATAAAGTAAAAAAGATAACTAAGTTATAAACATCTTAATTTTCTAGCTGGACTGGAGAAGATGGCTAAATGAATATTAAAGTCAACAGTCAATCCACTAGGTAGCTTGGTATAGAGAAAAGTGTATGGACTTTAGAGTCTGATGGTCTTAGGTCCAAATTGCCGAGTCCTAAAAATGCTTCAATTTTCTCATCTGTGAAATAGATGATAACCTCTGTTCTCAGAAGAGCAACAATTTACAAAAGGGTAATTTATTAATGAACAGCCCTTCTAATTTTAGTAAAGTCAAATCCAAGTCTGATGTAATTTATAATTTTTAATAAATATACACCAGTTTTAAACACACACCACACACACACACATATGCACATCTTCTACAAACACCAAAATAATTCTATCAAAAGTTCAACATTTTGCAGGGTGTGGGCTGGAAATGAATATTACATGCATCCACTCTACTTTATACATCAGTTCCTGCTATGGGTATATTGTGTCGGGCTGGGTCTTTTCTCTTTGCTGATGGGTAGGTCACCTGAAATAATTTTCTCATATTTTGTATCTGAAATGACAGTGAGAGGCAAAAAATATACCATTTTATAATTTTAAACAAACAAAAAGTCCAACAAAAAACTATGATGTTGAGGTGACTATTTTCATTTCTGTGAGTAGTGGTTCCTGGTTCTTTAACAGGTGGATTCAAATCTGAATCAGCTCTTTAAATACCAAATATACACTCCCCTTCTCTGTAACCCAAACAGGAAATATGTAGTCTTTTTCCCTTATACAGGATCTCTGCCCTGCCTCAGTGGCCGACAAGTAAGTACACACGATTTAGACTTGAAAAAGCTATTATTTTATTAGATTGTTAACAATCTAAATTTATAATCATTTGTAATCTCTTAAAAGAGCCAAGAACACTAAAGACTAAAATAAAAATCAAAGGCCAAGATCCTAATTTATCAACCATTCGTGTTAGAAAGGCTACAGTAATAAACTGTGCAGTGGTGTCTAGGTTTATTAAAACCTAGTTGTTTTTAAAAATTCATTTGGAATTTCTGAAATTACTTTCAACTCCTGTTCTCCAGGCATGTGCCCAGTATTCCTACTGAGTTCATGTTAACCCTCTACAGACACGTGAAATCCCGCCACGGTATGCGTATCAGAGGTGGAGGGGACAATTCTACGACTGGCCCTTAGGGCCAGACTTTGACATTTTTTGTGAATTAGGGGCCTCTTTTCACTCTAAAACTGTTGTCATTAATGACACACTTTCTATCTGATCTACCCAGTTATAAACTTAATTTCTCCCTTAATCTGGTTGGGTGTAACTAGCCCTAAATAAACAGGTAAAAAAGCACCAGAAAAAGATGGAAATGCTGAAAAATGGTTTAGTGTTCTTATACTGTTTTCCCCCCCAATTTGTTCATTTCTTCCTGCAGTCCCCACCTGAAAACCCCACTAAATACCAAGTCAGTTATTATGTATGAGGGTTAGCATAGATGAGATTATCTGATTTGAATGGTGAACTGAGACACAACTACATAAATACAAAACTCATCTAAGCTGAAAATCTCTCGTCTTACTAGGTTTCAATATTTGGAATTTCAAGTTTAAGTAAGGAGAATCAAACCAGAAGGTAATTTAGCAAGTGTCTCACTGGAACACTATTACCAATGCTTAAGAGAAAACAGCTTCTGGGAACGGCTTTTATCCCCTGCCACATAAGCTTGTTTTTCCTCTCTAAACTCGGAGACTTTATACTGAAAGTATGTACTGTGGATCCCCTAGAGGGCATTTAGTCCCAATTAATTTGATCTTGTCCAGGAGACAGCTGTCATTCACTTCCTGTTCTGGTAACAGCACCCCAAGTCTCCCAATTCCTCATTCTCAGTTTGTGTGGTTTGACCTCAACCCCCAGCGCTGGCCTACAGAAGCCCAGTTTCCCTCGGGTCAGTTCGGGATCAATAAGCGTCAGCTCTGGGACTTTTGTGGGAACTACTAGCAAAACTACAGGAACAACTCCTGCTAAACAGATAACTGTGTAGAGGTGCTGGGGGGAAAGTTAACTGAAAGAAACCCAACCCAGAAAGAAATGGATGTGCATGATGGAAGGAAACCAAGTCCTGGAAACATTGGTGAAAACCTGGAATCACCTGTCCCTGCCAGAACTTGTTCACTTAGTTCTGTAAGACCATAAAATCTCCTTTGAGTAAAGCCAAACTGAATCGGCTTTAAGATTTCTGTCACATGATTCCCAAAGCCCTGTCAGATAAACCTTCTGCTGAAACAGTTTAATTTAGGAAAACTCCAGGACGTATGAAGATTTGCCAACTTTTTTTTTAAGTTAGGCAATGTGCAGGGGCCACACACTTCAAAGCAGTAACGTGTTCCAGAGTAGGAAAGAGATCCAAAATGCTCAATACATATAGCTTTTAAAGATAAGGTCAAGAATACGAAGTATGCAATTTTATTAGACAAAGAAATTATTTTGAAAAAAACAGGGACATATTTATACTGTGATCTGTTAAAGGAAAGATAAAAGGCATGGGAGGAGAACAAGGCCATGTTCAAGGAAAGATAATTGGGATCAGGAATGAGTGAGTCAGGGCAAAAAGAGCCAAGTGGGCAGGGAACTGACTCTCCTGACTAGTTCAGAGTCCTTTATGATTCAGGGAGATGCCAGAGAGACTGACTGTGGCGGACACAGAGATCAAAAACTCAAAGACACCTCCAATGGCAAGATTAGAACAAGCATTCCAATGCCACAGAACTTTTTCAAAATACTCCCCATCCTTCACCAAGTACACACAAGAAAGGAGATGAGTACAGGATAACTGTTAAAGCTCCTAATGGGTACATGAGGTCTATTATCTCTACTTCAAAGCATGTTTTTTTAAATGTCTATAATATAAAGTTTTTAAAAAGCATTATGAAGTTTAGGGAAAATAAAGTCTAGAAGAATTAGAAGACCTAAGGAAACAATCTGCTTTTGAAAAGAAAGCAAAATAGCAAGTTTTGAGAGAGTTTCGCCCGCACTACTTACAGATGCTAAGTTAGCCTAAGTCTCAGTGCAGAGGTATTATGATGAACTGCTGAAACCTGTGAAACTAAAGGCCTGGAACTGATTGGAGTCCCAGTTTTTTCTAGAGCAAAACAACCCCCATCGCTTGTGAGATTTGACTGAGTTATAACACAGTGATCTACTTTGCACATCATAAAGCACTATATGCATGTTAAGAAAATTATTTTTTAATTATATATCTGAAAATATATCTGCCTGTTGAACCTCAAGATAAACAAAACTACCATAATTTTTTATAGACCAGAAAAATGTGGAAAACTTTACAAGACTTCCTCAAAAAATTCCTACAAAAAGTCATGGTGCAGGATAAACCGACAGCATTCTGTGAAAACCACATTAGGCATCAATGATTTTCAAGAAGGGAAAGAAGTACCCAGGGATGCTTACTTGCAGAAAACTTGCTACAAGATGATACAGTAACACTTCTATAATAATTAAGACTGGCAGAAGGCTGAAGGTTCTTGTAGCAAGCCCTTAAGGATCTATAACGAACTTGTGAAGACAGACAGTCCTTCACACTACTGTCAAAGGAAAAAACTGTGACAGTCTAGACATTAGTAAGGAGAGACTCTGTTAAGAGGAACTATTGTAATAGATGCTCAAAACCTGAGACAGAAGTATCTCAGGGAAGGGATGGGTGAGCCAAGTTTTTATACACTGACCCCAAGGGACAGGTGACTGTGGAAAGAGGAAGGGGCAGCCGTGAAACTCACTTGTACTAAATACTGCAGTAACAGGAAGGGTGAGGCAGGAAATATTTGGGGATAGGCACACTGTTGGGGGAAAGGGCAGGGAAGGTCCCACAAAGTCAGACCGAGCTGTCCTAGTCGAAACAGCCTAAAGTTATGTCAAGAACAAAATCTGATCAGCCTTGTCACTACGGATAGAACATCAGATATTATCTAAATTGGAAAATCAAAACAAAACTCGGGTGACCTTAGCGGTTTAAGAGTAGTAATAGAAGTGTGCCAACCCCAAAACAATGCAGGAGGCTACAAATAAAGAGTTTATTTGGGATCTTAAGAACTGCATTCGGGAGAGACAGACTCAGGTAAAACTGAAAGTGTTCTGGGGAAGAGAAAGAGTCAGGGGCTCTTAAATACAAAAAGCCAGAGTTGCCTGTTGGGAACTGACTCTGATGTGAGTCAGGAAGTATCTGTCCTTAAAGAATCACGAATTATTCTAGGATAGGGGTCCAAGAAGTATCGAGTGTCTGGCACATTTCTGGAGAACATTAGGACAGTAAGTGGTCAAAAGGTCAGATTCCATCCAGGCTGAGACGTGTATCCTGCGTAAGTCACATGTCTTCAAGGGCCTCCCAGCCCCATTTCAGAGCTCTCTTAACAATGCCAACACCATTCTGATTTTCCTTTCATAAGTGATAGGTTTA